GTCCATGAATCCATGATCGTCTACTCCTACACTTATATATCCACACAGACATTTAGTACCAAGTCACAGACTGATATGAACAGTCCCACGCAATCGGCAAAGTCTTCTGCGTCGACCAGATCTGCCGCCAGGCGTTCGCGAATCAGATGCTCAGAGAACCTGATACGGAAAGTGCAAAAATAGTGTTGAATTAATGTGGATTAATCAATACAATCGGTGTGGCATTTGCATATACCCTAAACTGATATCTTAGAGTGGGGGTTGGGGGTGGGGGTAGTATGGGAGGTGTTCTATGTTGTGTGTAACATGTACATACGACCACAGACGACAGCTGTAGCGCTATGGCAATACAACACACACAACGCAATGAATTCAAATGCACACACACACCAACGGGGGACAGGAAATCGTTCATGCACGGCAGCATGCAGGCCAAAACAACACCCACAGACCACCAAATACGCACGAGACGAGGCTATTCTATGAATAGAAGCATCTAAAACTGTAAAAATCTATACTCCCGTGCACATGCGACTAGGCTATTCTATAAATAGAAGCACCTGAAACCATACATAAATAAACATACGCACGTACACGTGGGACTGGGCTATTCTATAAATAGAAGCCCCTGAAACCGTACATAAACACGCGCACGCACGTACACATGGGACTGGGCTATTCTATAAATAGACGCCTGGATGTCCGCCTGAGCCTCGTCCACCTGGATGCACTCCACCATGCGCTTGAACACATGGTTCGCCTGTAGCATGTGGGGAAAGTAGCTGAGAGTGGCCATGGACGGAGACACCTTCTCAATCATCAGCAGCATCAGCAGAGGCATGGTCACACCCGACGAACTACCCCCCGACTTAAACTGCAGCACTGTGCGAAGGAGGGTATGTAGGGTTTATATATATACATACATACACATACACACACACGCACACACACAAACACACACACACACACACATATATATATATAAATATATATACAGTGTACAGATATACGTGCATTCAAGTTCTCGTGTGTGTGTTTGGCTCTACCTATACATGTGCCAGGGTGAGAGTGGCAGATGTATGTGAGCCAACAGAAAACACATCGCTGAGCCAACACAGACCATCAGAAGATTAATGTTATTGGCAATTAATGATATTGGCATTT